TGCGGTTTGCCTGTACCTGTCCCTCCCGTGGTTTCTTTTATTGCAGAAAAGTTTGCATGCAATGCCAAGAAACTCTTCTACTGATATAGACGGCTCCACCAAAAATATTCAGAGAAGGCTGTAACCCAACTATTTACGGGAAGAGTCTTTAAATGGCAAATGTTTTGCCTGTCAAAACACCTGAGAAGAGGGCACCTCAACTGAGAAACTGCCTGTAAGCCTGTGATATTACCTGTGGAGCATTCCCTTGATTGCTAATGTATGTACAAGAGCTCAGCCCACAGTGGGCAGTAAGTACTCTCCTTGGACAGGTGATCCTGGGCAGCAGAAGATAGCTGAAGGTGAGCCTGGAACGGAGCAAGTAAGCAGCATGCCCTGGGGGTCTCTGCTTCAGTTCTGGCCTCCAGGTTCCTACCTTGACTATCAGAGCTTTGGCTTCCCTCAAGGACGGACCGTATCCTGGAAGCCAAAGAAACCCTTTCCCGTCCCACGGTGCTTTTGGCTATGCTATCTATCCCAGCAACAAAGACCAAACCAGGACGACTGACTACTGACTCAGAGTGCATGAAAATGCAGTCTAATGAGCGTGTTGCTCTCCATCTCCACTGCTAACGGGGTCTGTCTTCTGCCCCGCTAACATCCACTTTTCTAAAGCGGGTTCCGGAATGGTCAAGACGAACGCGTGTGTAAGTTCCGTTCAACTCAGCTCCGACCACTCGCCTTCTACTACATTTTTAAGCAGAAGGACAGAGACATGGCTAACACTCCTCGGGAGACACAGTCTGACCTTGCAGACCAGATCTCAGGCACGCACTAATGGGAGGGGAATGCATATGTGTTTGCACACATGTACCCGTGGATAACCGATATTCTGAATATTTCCCATCAATGCGTTTCTAATCACATTATGCATTTCTCCTTATGCCTGTTACTATAAGGTTAATGCTAATGAAATACAGAATGTAGTTTTAAAATTAGAAATTCACTAAAGGCCTAGGAGTATAGTTCAGTGATGCATAGAAAGTTTGGGGAGACCCTGCATTTGATCCCTGGCACTATTCCCACCCCCTCAACCCCCACCCCACATATATAAACCACCAAATCAAGAAGGTGTGGACTAGAGAGATGGCTCAGCAGTAAAAAGCACTTGCTGGCCAGGTACAGTGGCGCACACCTTTAATCCCAGCAGGCAGGAGGCAGGGACAGTCAGATCTCTGTGAGTTTGTGATCAGCCTAGTCTCCATAAAGAGTTCTGGATCAGCCAGGGCTACACAGAAAGACCCAGTCTGAAGCAAGCAAACGATACTTGCTGTTCCGGTACAGAATCGGGGTCTAATTCCCAGTACCCACATGGCAGCCCACAACCATTGTAAGACCGTTCCCAGGAGATCCAGTGTCCTCGCTGCTTTCACAGGCATCAGGGAAAACACTCAGACATATAAAATAAAGCTTTCTTTTCAGGAATAATTATTTTGGCATTTGCCTTATTTCTTTTCCTCCTCTTAGCACTGGGGCTCTATTCCCTGCTCAGAGCCTTGTTCTACTGAGCCTGAATCAGCCAGAACCATGCAGAGTGGGACCCTCCATATTATGCAGATACACCATCCCTAGGCAGACAGCATGCTTCTACCACAGCGAATGACAAAATTACAGACTAGAAAACGTGTTTATACATCATAATTCTGAAAAAGGACTAGTATCCAGAATACACACACACACACACACACACACACACACACACACACCCCTCTGATAACCATGGGGCTCATTAGCTAAAAAGCACTTGTTGATCTTGAAGAAGACCCAGGTTCAGTTCCCAGCGTCTACATAGTGGCTCACAGCCATCCATAACTACATTTCCAAGTGATCTAATGACCTCTTCTGGTACCAGGCATGTATGTGGTACACAGAAATACACATAAAATAAAAATAAATATTTTTTTAAAAAAATCTCTGCTTTGCCGGGCGGTGGTGGTGCACGCCTTTAATCCCAGCACTCGGGAGGCAGAGCCAGGCAGATCTCTGTGAGTTTGAGGCTAGCCTGGTCTACAGAGCTAGTCCGGGACAGGCTCCAAAGCTACAGAGAAACCCTGTCTCAAAAAACCAAAAAAAAACCCCAAAAACACAAAAACAAACAAGCAAACAAACAAAAAACTCTGCTAACTCAAACAACTCAGAAATGAGAACAGATGTGAGCAGACATAAGAATAGCCAGCAAGTAGAGGAAAGTGTTTTGACATAGTTATGTTAAAACTACAATGAGGTAAGACCTCACACCCACAGAACAGCTGTAATTCAAACCATCAATCAAGGCAGGCACAGTGGCACAAAGTTGTAAGGTAGGAGGATCAGGAAATGGAGGCCAGCCAGACTACACAATGAGATCCTGTCCCAAAACAAACAAACAAAATACAGGAAGTTGAGAGAGAACTGTCTCAAACTGTAAGCCATCCTGGACTATCTAGTAAGACACTGTCTTGAAATATAAAACCAAGTAGGCTTTGGTGAGATGTGGAGATACTGGGCCTTGTATACACTGCAGGTGGGCATGGGAGCCTTGTATGTTTTGATTGGGGTTTCTATAGTTACCCTAATATTACGAAGACAAAATTTACATCTCTATCTTTCTTTTAAATGTTTTAAGTTGTCTGTCTGTCTGTCTGTCTGTCTGTCTGTCTGTCTCTCTCTCTCTCTCTCTCTCTCTGTGAACATGAAGGTCAGAGGTCAGCCAGCAGGAGCTGACTCTCTCCTTCTACCTTGTAGGTCTCACATATTAACTTCAGGTCATGGAGGCTGGCAGCTTGGTGGCAAGCATCTCTACCCACTGGGCCATCCCACCAGCCCATATTTCTTCTCCTAGTGTCGTGAGCTTGTTCCCAAGAGGAAGGAGTCAGTGGCATCTTCATGCCATCCTTCTCCAACGTGGAGCTACTATCTGATCTCGCTGACATTTGATAGCAAAGTCAGCATAAGGAAACGGCTCCACTGCAGCCAAGCCACTGCTCTGAAGCTGGGGTTGACGCTACTGACCACCAGAATCAGAAGGACAGCTTACAGTTCAGAGTCCCAGGTAACTGTTTCAAGACTTGAAAACCATGGATCAGGGAAGGAGTGTGAGCGTTTAAAGAAGGGATTTAAAAAACAGCCCAGAAAAGGGCAAGCAAATATAAGCACAGTACAAACATATGTGTGTGTATGTATGAATATATATATGTATGTAGAAATATCGTAATGAAACGCATTATTTTTTTTTTAAAGATTTATTTACTTATTATGTATACAGTGTTCTGCCTACATGTGTACCTGCAGGCCAGAAGAGGGCGCCAGATCTCATTACAGATGGTTGTGAGCCACCATGTGGTTGCTGGGAATTGAACTCAGGACCTCTGGAAGAGCAGCCAATGCTCTTAACCTCTGAGCCATCTCTCCAGCCCCCAAACCCATTATTTTATATAACTAGAATTTATTAAAAAGAAGTAGCCACAATCTTCAAGAAGTGAGCAAAGGGAATAATCAACCCACAACAGACTATCACAACTCTGACCCTGCTGGGCATCTAAGGAGACCACACTGAGGCAGAACGTGGAGTCAGGAAGGCTTCCCACAGAAGACGCATCTGATACCCGTCAGTCACTGTAAACATTCAAACAACACCTTCAAGTGTGATGTTCGGACAGGCTGCCCACAGGAGCACAGAACCATGCACAGCTGCCTCAATATGGGATCAGCTAGGAGCTGGTTGGACATGCATTTTAGCCCTGGTCCTTAGGTTTTTTTCTATAAGCACACAATTGGTACTACACAGCACAGACGAGGCTCTCCTCGCGATCTGCTCATCTAACTCAAGAGGGTCATCCAAAGTGAGTGCAACTGACTTGCATTTCCTCCCCTCAAAATTCCCTTAACCAGGGAATATGAAAAGAGGAAAAGGTCTCCGCCTACTGAGACCTGCTAAATATAACCCTCCCCCTTCTTTCCGAGGACTGCCACCCAAGAGAGACTTGATCTGCACAGTGACAACCGGCGTTCACAGCACATCCTCATCGACCTTCACTTCCCTATGAACTATACGGCCCTCCTTGGTGTTCCTTATTTTTGTGTGACTCCCATACACATGCTAACAAATGTGCCGGCCTGTTCTCTAGCTGCTGTGCCTATTTGGCTTATTCCCGCTGACTCAGACAGGGAACCTGCAGAGGAAGTGAGAACTTCCTTATACCTACTGCACATGCCCATGCATCAATGCCAGAACCTGAATTTCTCTTCCTCGTCAGTGCTACCTTCTGAGTCAACAAAGCCTGCTAACTTATCCTTGTGACAGGTTCCTTAATGCCCAGTTGATCCGTCCCTTAATTGAGTGTGTTAGACTTCTGTCACGTGACAAAACGCCCAAGACAGACAACTCAGGAGATCTGACTGACTCATGGTTCCGGGATTTCCGTCAGTGGTCTGGGTACCGCTCTGGGCCCACAGCGGCAGAGTACATCAAGGCAGGAGCGTGTGGCAGAGGGACCGCCTGCCTCAACAACTGTGGGAGGCCGAGGGAAAGGCAAGTACTTCACAGCGTGTCCGTCCACCAACTCTCTTTTCCTCCCATTCCTCCACACCCCTTACTTGACGGCAGACAAACTGGAACTACCTGGTGATGCCACGTGAGTTCTGGCCTTCCCTTCTGGTCAAGACCATCTTCCCTTCCAAGGATCTGACTGCCAGGCTCCAGTTCACTCTGAGATGACAGTCACAGGTCTTCCCTTTATGGAGGCTGCCTTGATACTCTCTTCTGATACCTTCGATGGACTAGATTACTCTCTTGTTCCCATCTAAGACACCCAGTGGATTGTTACTCTCTGTTGAAATCTCCTAATCCTCCCTAGTCTACCTATTTACTTTTGTACCCTTCTGAACAGAAACATAGTGTCTACTCCACTGCTCAGTGAAAATTCATGAACAAGTAAATGTGTACCCGCGGCTGCCACTGCCTTAGAACCTAAGACCACTGATGGCTTCAGCAGCACGTATACTCAAATTGGAATGATACAGAGAAGATTGGCGTGGCCCCTGTGCAAGGACGACAAGCAAATTCATGAAGCGATGCATAAGAAAAAAGAAAGAAAGAAAAATAAAAAAAAAAACCCTAAGACTAGAGTACATTGATATGTTACATGACATAAAATACTCAAAATAAAACTCAAAATCTGTGGCACATATAATAAAGTATAGTGGGTTGAACTAAATAAAGAAATTTAATCTAGGAGTCTACGTAGTTATCTATTCTGTCTTTATGATTTATTTTATTTTTAGATCTGTTTTGGGGGTGTGAGTATTTTGCCTGTGTGAATGTATGTGCACTGTATGTGGACTTGTATGTGCACTGTATGTGGACCTGGTGCCTTCAGAGGTCAGAGAGGAGGCTGGAGTTACAGATGGTTGTGAGCCACTATGTAAGAGCTAGGAACTGAACCTGGGTCCTCTCAGAGAACAGAAAGGTGCTCTTAACCACAGAATCATCTCTAGAGCCCCTTACTTTAATTTTTTGGGCCATGGTCTTACTATATAGCCTTGGTTGGTCTGGAACTCACTACATAGATCAGCACAGATGCTCACAGAGGCCAAAGCTTCAGTTGTGAGCAGCCTGACATGGGTTCTGGGTACCTGCTAGGAACCAAACTCCTGTCTTCTATAGGAGAAAACGGTCCTGGCTCTGAACCGCTGGGCCATCTCTCCAAGGCCCTATGTTTCCTCTTAAGCCAGGAAAATTACAGAGTTAAAGAAAGGCGTGTTATTAGAAAGGAAATCAATGGGTTGTAGTCATTTGAAAGTAGGAAAAAGTCAAAGAACAAATATCAAAAGTTCTATGTTCTCTCCATTTGTTAACAACAGTCACGGACTCGGACCCAGCAAAACAATGATGGGAGCGGGTCTTATAAGACCTCAAGAGGCCATGTTTGGCATCTCAGACTCTCAGCTAATGAAAGTGTATCACATTTCAAAGCAGACTGCCTCTTAAATAACAACGCCTCCCCAAAAGCAAAGCATATTGTTATGGAAGTCAAAACACTAGCCACAGACAAATGAAAACACTTTGTCAAGGGTCATAAAGTAAGTCCCACAAATTCCAAAGCAGAACCTTTGATCTGAACTCCAGGGATATGCTCTGATCTTTGGATAACAGCCCAGCTGTGTAAGTTCGTACCGGTATTCTCTTCATTTCATAGTTGCTCAGTACCAGCGATGTCCAATGACGTTTTCCCAGTGTGTTTAGTACTAAGAGGCCTTCTCTATCACACTCAAGAGTTCTACTTGCAAGAGAAGAATGTCAACAGCAAGACCTGCCCAAGGTACAGCTTTTTATCATTTTTACGTCAAAGATGAGGTGATATCATGACGTTGCCTAAGGACAATGTCCTGTCCAATCTCCACTCTTCTCTTCACAAAGGAATAATCATTGAGCTACTTTTCAGAAGATTTGAAAAGGAACCGAGAAATAAATATTCTGAGAAGCTACAGAGTAAATGTTCTAACCACAAAGAAACTAAATGAATATACTCCTTTTTAAAATTTAATTTAATTTTTTTATTTATTTCTTTAGAATAAGTCTCACTAAATTGTCTTGGCTGGCTGGGAATTTACTCTGTAGAACAAGATGGCCTCAAATTTGCAGGAATCCTCCTGTCTCTGCCTTCCAAATGCGAAGGCCACGGGTATGAGTCACTATGCCCCAACACGTTTCTTTTTTTTTTTTTTTTTTTTTGGTTTTT